TCTCCCACCATCTTCTTCTAGAGACCAAGACCCTTTAGTATCACAGTTTACCCTATTTTGGGGAGGAGGATCCCATCTCTTACTTTCATGGACACTCGTAATAGTCTCCTCGTGTACCAATATTTGGATGCAACATTTGAGAAGTAAACCATTCATCCGCATCTTCACAAATTTTTCCAACCGACTCAAATCGACAAAACCTTGTACCCTCAAAAAAAATTTTGTTCCTATTTTTTCCATGATATTTTTGGAAACATTTTTCTTAAATTTTTGATAAGTTAGTACAAAATATAAAATTCCACAAGTTTTCAATAATTTCAACAATTCTTTTTGCTTTGAATTACAATGAGTAGTACAACTCTTTTGATTGAAAGGTTGTTTCCATGAAACTATATAAAACTGCTGGTTAATTAATAAAAATGAAAAGAAATTAACTGACTAAATCAAATATTTCTTTTGTGCTAGCAATTTTATTTTCCCCCAAAAGATATAGAAATTCTGTTGAAATATTGCTTTATTATTTTAAGGATTTTTCGTATACATAATATATTGGGATATTGGTAGATATCGCTACATCGATACACTGAATCAATTTTTATTATCTATATATACATTTTTGGATGACTTTTAGCAAATAAATCCTGGAGTTGGAATGTATTTACGGATGAATGCCATTGGCATTAATTATTTAAATTTGAAAAATATTAATTAAAGATATTACCAACACGATTTCGAGAATCATAAATTCATATCTTCCTTATTTTTCTAAGTCATTAATGTGATAATCTTTAGGAAATATTTCTCTCTAAAAAAAAAAATCCACATTAATGAAGGCATTAAAATCGACGCTAACAATTAAATTATTTAGATATTCAATTATTTTAAGATTCTTATATCTTATTTGATATTTTTTTTAATATCTCATTCTTTAATTACTGCGTTTAGAATTTATTGGTTGTTACCTGGTGAAATTTATTGGTTGTTACTTAATAAGTAATTATGGTGCATTTATTTTAGTTAATATCTAATTTAAAGGATTTGTTTTCTTTTATTATTAATAAACGAATAACATGTATAGAAATAAAAGATTTTTCTTGCGACTCCATAATAAAAATATTAAACTCTTATTTTCTACATTTCTTACACATAATATCCTCTTATTCAATAACAAAAAATATATATTGCATATTTTTAAAAATATTTATAATATTTAAATTATATAAAAAGTTTGTAATATTAATATTATTTCAACTCTATACAAATTTAATATATATGTATATATATCTTATGGGAACCATTTCACGGGACGGGTAATATGATGGGACGGGTTTGGGTTGATATTTATAAAAGATAGTATACCACGGGTGAAATCCTAAAATTAACAATCAAAATAATCTATCAAACAAATTACATTTTGATTTTTTTAAGAAAATATAGCCCCGCGGTATACCGCGGGTTAAAATCTAGTTATCTAATATCTTCGCTTTTGATTCTGACTTATTCTTCACCTTATACTTTAATGCTGCAAAAAACATTATAGAGAAAATTATGAGTGAAATATTCTCAAATATTAAAAATAAAATTAATAAATCAACTAAAAAATGTAAGTAAGAAAATTATTATTCAGTTTCAAATAACAAAAATTACCTGCTACAATCGAATTTTGGACCAACCGGTGCGAATAAAGTAATACCACATAATTTAGGCAAATTGTCAAACTTGTATTGAGGGGCTGAAGTGATTGCTGCTTCAGTCGACAAACAAATGCACATATCATGACGATCATCGTACGTTTTAACACCTTTGTTCACTTTATCTAAGCCACTGCAACAATCTGGTGATGGCGTATCCTCTATCCAAATGTACTTCAAACACGGTTGTAAAAGATTTGTTGCTTCTTCACATGGTGTTAAACCATGCACTGTAAAAACATTAAGATGTGACATTAAAATGGTGATTGCAATGACACAAGCTATTAAAATGGATTTCCTCATTTTTGTTCGATTGATTGTGATTGTGATTGGGATTTTCGTGGTTTGTCTTTGGTTTCTGGGTTAAAATTATATATACAAGTATGTTCGTGTCTGATGCATTTAAAATATGTGGATCTTATTCCATATGTACATTTTTATATTAGGAAATTATTTAAAAAAGATAATTTAAATATTATCATTTTGTCTTGCTATATATTATCTTGAAGTTAAAGTTTTTATATATTTAAATATAATTACACATACAAATTTTTAATATATATATATATATTATCTTGAAGTTAAAGTTTTTAGTTATTTAAATATATTTACACATACAAATGTCTTTCTACTAGACATAAGAAGGGGCCAAAATACCCAGAATCTGATAAATAATGAAACAGTGGTATGTTCAATACTTCAATCTATATCTGATCATTTTGAATTTTTTTGATTAAGATTGTATATATAGATAATTACCTTAAAATATATTCATTTTGTTTCACAAAGAGTGTCATTCTATATTTTTTCACACATATTAAGAAAGCTATTAAAATTTCTACTATACCCCTTATCAATACAGTAAACAAATTTATTTTTCTTATTAATACGAAATAGGATTAAAACTAGATTTTTATTCAAAATTTTGCATTGCAAATACAAAATGACCCTCTTTGTGAAACAAAAATAAAACCTTAAAACGATAATTTTTGTTAAACATAAAAAGTATAATATCTTGAAAACAATGCTATTTAAAATTCCCAGATTTTGATATGAAGAATGAGATCTTTCTTTAATAAATCAATAGTAGATTCACAAAAAACTGAAACGTTCTCCATCTGCCATGTGTACTTTTCTGACATGTCTATTAAATTTTTACTCTATTTTCTTTAACTAAATTTCCTTTTCTCTAACTTAATTAGTTTAAAGAAAATTGCTTCCGGATCTTCACTTCTTCTTTCCAATATTATAAAAATAATTGAAGTGTTATATGTTAATATTTTAATTTTAATTTTTATTTATACATCAACTCTATTTTTAATATCAACTAATTATTAACAAACAAAATAAATTAATCATGTGCAAGGCACGAGTCTTAGGCCGATTTGCAAATATCTTGATTTTAAATTTTGGATTCTTAATTTTAAAATTTGGATTTTGATATATCACGTAGCAAACTTGACATACTATTATTAAATTAGTTATATATATATATATATATATATATATATATATATATATATATTATCATTTTTTCTTCCTATATATATTATCTTGAAGTTAAAGTTTCTATTTTTTTTTGAAATATAATTACACATACAAATTTTTAATTTATTTATATATATATATATATTATCTTGAAGTTAAATTTTTTATTTATTTAAATATATTTACACATACAAATTTGATTTATCTAATCTTTCTACTAGACATAATTAGGGGCCAAAGTACCGAGAATCTGATAAATAATGACAATGGTATGTTTAATCTTTTTTTTTTTTTTACATCTTTGGATCGACAAGGCCAGATCCATAGCCAATCCCTACTACGCGGGGTAACGCGATTTAGTGGAGTCGAACTCCGGTGGGGAAGGCGGAGTCAAGTGGACTTAACCACTTGACTAAAGGCACATCCCCGGTATGTTTAATCTATATCTGATTATTTTGAATTTTTTGATTGAGATACATGTATATATAGATAATTACCTTAACAATATACTCTTTTTGTTTCATAAAGAGTATCATTCTACATTTTTTACACATATTAAGAAAGCTATTAAAATTTCTTTTATACCCTTTCTCAATACAGTAAACAAAATTATATTTCTTATTAGTACATTAAAGAATTAGGATTAAAACTAGATTTTTATTCAAAATTTTGCATTAAAAATTCAAAACTGCCCTCTTTGTAAAACAAAAATAAAATCTTAAAACGATATTTTTTGTGAAACGAAAGGAATATAATATCTTGAAAACAATAGTATTTAAAATTCCCAAATTTTGATATGAAGAATGAGATCTTTATATTATAAATCAATAGTAGACAAAAAATTGTAACCTTCTCCATCTGCCATGTGTACTTTGCTAACATGCCTCTTAAATTTTCACTCTATTTTCTTTAACCAAATTTCCTTGTCTCTAACTTAATTAATTTAAAGAAAAAAACTTTTTAACCTCTCTTTCAATTCTACGGAAATTGCTTCCGGATCTTCGGTTCTTCTTTCCAATATGATAAAAATAATTGTAGTGTTATATATTAATATATATATATATATATATATATTTTATATACATCATTTATATTTGTAATATCAACTAATATTAACAAACAAAATATATTAATCATGTGCAAGGCACGTGTCTTAGGCCGATTTGCAAATATCTTGATTTTAAATTTTGGATTCTTAATTTTAAAATTTGGATTTTGATATATATCACGTAGCAAACTTGACATACTATTTATGAAAATTAGTTTCTAAAATAAGATTTTCAATATGTCTCTTTTTTAATCTTGTTTACATTTTTTTATTAGGACAATTTTGTATTTAACAGATTCCGAGAAAGACCATCCAAGATAGTATTGAAGGCACAAGCGGATGTAAAGGATTGGCTCTCTACCAATTCAATCCCGAGTGGGACAGAACAACTCTTCACCCTCAAAGTGGCCACCAGCTATGTATGTCAATTGCAACTTTCATGCAGGTTTTAACTCGACGACCTTGGAAGTACAAACTAGATGGATCATTCGTGACTCTGAAAGAATCGCTCTCTGTTGGGGCTCGACCAAATTTGATTATGCAACCTCTCCCTTGGAAGCTGAAACAAAAGCCCTATTAGTAGCTTTGCAACAAACATGGATTCGAGGCTATCGGAAAATTATCTTTGAAGGAGATTGTGCTATTCTAGCCAGCATCATCAACGGATCTTCAAAACAACACACTATCGTAAATCTGCTTCAAGATATACAATCAGGGCTGGCTCAATTTTTTTTTGGACCTTGTGCACATTTTAAAAAAAAATCTGAAAATTATACTTATTATAAAAATTTAGGACTTTATTTACAAATTTTCTAAAATTTAGGACCCTAAAACCTTAAAGAAAAACAAAAAAAAATTGTGGGACCCAGTGCTTGAGCACACATAGCACCAGCCCTAAGCTGGGCCTGTATACAACATTGGATGTCACGCTTCGATTATAGTTGACATTGCCACATCAAAAGAACGGGAAATAAAGCTGCTCATGCTTTGGCTAAATTTGGTTGTAATCATCGTTCGTACTTTTATTTTGATTCTGTAATTCAGCCTGAATGGCTTCAACAACAACTCTGTATGGATTATGGATCTTCATAATGCAATATAAAGTTTGATTCTGATGAAGAAAAAACAAGTATTGGTTCAAGTATTGGTTCAACAACAACTCTGTATGGATGATGGATCTTCATAATGCAATATAAAGTTTGATTCTGATGAAGAAAAAAAAAAAGTATTGGTTCAAGTGTAGACACGAGTCGCATGACATGCATAGATTCAGACTCACAATGCATGTTACTGTAAGACCACGATTTCTACGATGTGGCAAAACTGAATAATTACAATAGATGATTATAAAAACTAGAAATAAAATAAAACAACTGATACCAATATTTGATAAACAAAGAACGGTTTGTGCGGAAACGAGACACTCTTTCCTTAATTTTTTAATTGTCCGTAGTGTGATGGTTTGACGCAATCATAATTCCAAGATACAACCGCACCATCTTCTGATTTGTAACACTCAAAATCAGAAGCCTAACGAACTCTAGTAATGTTTGTACTCTCAGACTCGGTAACTAGAGAAAAGAAGAATAAGGAGATTGTGATCTTTTTAATTCATATGTCCATGAGACAAAAATGGAGAGATGAAGCCTTGGTTTTATATGTCAAGCTCTCAACATTAGAAATAAAGAGGAGTAATGAGAATTCATTCTCAACATAAAAGTCATATTCTCAATGATAGTCATTTACTCTATTATTCTCATTAATTGATTTGTTGTTACACAATTCACAATTAAATGAGATATATATTGAATCTTTCAACATTATGACTTAAACACATTTGGATAAATAACAATTATTATTTGGGTTATAAGCCCATTTCCCAAATCTCAAATCCCAAACTCGGTCCGGCTTGACACGATACAATGCGGCTCGGCACACATGCTTGGTTTAGATTTCTCTTTTAACTTCCGAAGTGTGACATTTGATCCTTTAGTCAAATCTCAAGCTATCCAAGCTAGCCACTCCATTTCTCATTCAAACGAACTTCAATTTTAAAAGTTACCCGACAAAGTAGTCCAGCACAACTAATCAAAATAAGTTCCAACAGTTATTAACTAAACAAATATTAATTTTAGTTATTTAGTTATATTTGGTTGATCTATTGAGAATATATGTCACAATTTTTGGATGGATCTTACTGAACTCATGAATTGATATAGAAAATATATCTTTCATTCTTTTGTCCACTCTCTTTTTGAAATAGTTTTGAAGATTCACCAGCTGTATTAGAAAATGAGTACTTTTGGTATGCTTCCATCAAAATATGTATATAATATGATGGATATTCTGCAAAACAACCCTCTAAGTCAATTTGGTTTGCAAGTTTACCCTCCAAGTTTGAATTATGCAAGTCAACCCCACAATCTCAAAAGTTACCTGCAACACTGTCCTCCCGTGTAGCGATGACGTGACACTCGATAACTCCGTTTGAAAACATAAGGAGTTTTTGCAAGAAAACCCTCCATGTAATTTTTTTTTTGCAAGACAAACCTCTATGTCAAATAAATGCAGGTCAAACCACAATCTCAAAATTCACCTGTAATATTGCCCTTCCGTATATCGATGACGTGGAAATCGATAACTCACTTTATGTAATGTAGTATGTAGGAGTATCATGCATCTCGAGCCTCAAATTGGTTAATTCTTCCAGCATAGCCTCATCCCAGCATTTCCATATGTGGCATGCCACAGTCTATCAAAATTCAACCAAAACTTCAACCAAAATTTAAAACTTTATATGAATCACTTAAAATTCAACCAAGATTTCTATGTAAAAAACAATTCAACAATCACTTACATCAAAATTTGACATGTGTAAAATAGCTTTTCCGGATTCGTCATTGTCCGAAAAGGTTATGGAAGGCTATTCTACACATGTCAAAATTTTGATGTAAGTGTATGTTGAATTGTTTTCTACATGATCAGAAATCTTGGTTGAATCTTAGTTGAATTTTAAGTGATTCATATAAAGTTGTGAATTTTGGTTGAAGTTTTGGTTGAATATTGATAGACCGTGGCATATCACATATGGAAATGGTGGGATGAGGCTATGATGGAAGAATTAACCAATTTGAGGCTCGAGATGCATGATACTCTTACATACTACATTACATAAAATGAGTTATCGATTTCCACGTCATCGATATACGGAAGGACTATATTGCATGTGACTTTTGAGATTGTGGTTTGACCTACATTTATTTGACATAGAGGTTTGTCTTGCAAAAAAAAATTACATGGAGGGTTTTTTTTTGCAAAAACCCCTTATGTTTCAAACGGAGATATTGAGTGCCATGTCATCGCTACACGGGAGGGCAGTATTGCAGGTGACTTTTGAGATTGTGGGGTTGACTTGCATAATTCAAACTTGGAGGGTAAACTTGCAAACGAAATTGACTTAGAGGATTGTTTTGCAGAAAACCCTAATATGATATTGTGCGGGAAAACCCCTTTAGAATTAGGTAAACTTATTCGGTTGACTTTGGGGTGTATATATGTTGTGGGATCTAACTTTGAAGAAGGAATAAAGACTAAGAGAATTAGCAGCTAAAATGAAATATTCACTCTCTGATAACCAAAACCCAAAACGTATAAAGCTAGATTAAAAGTTAATAACACAAAACCAAAACGAAAAAGTATGAGCATGCTGATTAGATCAGTTAGTGTAATGTTTCAACATTATAACTCAAAACGTATAAAGCTCTTTTTTCTTGGATTCCCAGATTTTGATATGAAGAAAAGTTATATTACAAAGCTTCAAAATTCCTTTTTCTTATTTTTTTATTAAAAATATTTAATTTTGTTGATTCCATATAAATATTAAGTAAATAACTTTTAATATTTTTGGAAAATATAACGTTTCATGTTGAAGTCTAAACACTGGAAATATTGTTGATTACAAATTCCCGGTTTGATAAAATCTTGTCATTTCATCATTTGTAGAAAACGTTGAATAAATGTGGAAACTGTGTTATACAAACTTTACGTGCGGAAGAAGAAATAAAACGAAGACCAATGAGTAAAACTAAATTCCCTATTAAGAACAACTTCTTTTTGCATATTATTTGTTTTTCATGCTGTCTTTAGCCAAATACTGTTTTGCTATAAATACTGTATATATAGCATATTCCTATTTAAGTAGAATCCAACAAAATAAGTTATAAAATCCTTACAATATCCTCAGTTATCTACTTATCTTTGACCGGTATATTACCAAAGTTTATTAATTATGTTCCGATTATTATATAGAATGAAAATAATAAATTTTCTGTAACAAAAAAAAAAACCTTTTCATTATAAAAATTGGATATTAAAAAATTAAAGGGGAGAATAAAATATGGAAAAACGAAACCCTTGGTCAAAACAAATTCCGTTTCCTAATTAGATGGGTTAAACACACGTCTATGAGCCACCCATTTCTTCTATATATTCCCATTTTGTAAGAAAGCAAATTCACAAATCTCTTTGTTCTATAATTAAACAAACACACATAAGAAAAACAAAAACTATGGCTCTCTCTGGTTCGCAAAAGAAGTTTTTTCTACTTGTTCTAGCCATTGCATGTCTCTCCTCTTCTTGTGCAGAGGCGTGGAGCTGGAGTTCGAGTAACGGCAACGGTTGGGGATGGGGATCTGATGGCTCTAGCACCTCTACCTCAGGTCCTGGTTCAAACACTGGCGATTCAAACTCTGGCGGTTCAAACCCAGGCGGTTCAAACTCTGGCGGTTCTAGCTCCCCTTGGGGATCTTGGGGATGGGGTTGGGGATCTGACGGCTCTGGCAGTCCAGCCCCATCCAATGCTTAATTTCTTTTAGGGTGTGACTGGTGTGATAATAAAGAAAAAGAATTCGAGTGATTTTCATATCTATTATAATGTAGAAGAAAACTGTCTACTATAAGTGGGGCAGTTAGACAGTGTACTATTTGTAACATTACCCAAAACTTATGAAAAAATATATTAAATGTTTTAGGTTATATACCGATGGATTCAAAAAGTTAGAATTTGGTGAAGTTTAAGGGAATCTCTGATCAATTGAAATTGGAAGTCAAATCTGTAATTAGTGAGAAATGCAAAGGCCTAACTACATACTCAAAGAAAAATGTGTGGATTTTCGTGTTCTTCATTCTAGCGATTTCAGGATTAATTTTTGTGAGGTAAATCCGTGATCTTTCAACCTTGACAATGGTTCAAGGTTTATTGAAAATTGTTGCGGTTAAGAAGTGGGAAGTACACCAAATGAACGTGCACAACGCTTTTCTTCATGATGATATCTTGATGACTTTAGGTTTTCGTCATTCAAATCTGAATATAGTGTGCCAGTTACACAAATCTTTATACGGTCGTAATTAAGCAAGCTCCTCATTGTTGGTTTGCTAAGCTCACGAAGGCGCTTACGCAATTAGGTTTTCTTCAATCGCGTTCTGACTACTCGTTGTTTACATATACACGGGGGAGAGGTGGAGCTTTGTGTGATGGTCTATACATGGATGATTTGTTAATTTGTTGCAACAATTCTACTTTGGCATGTTTTAAAGATCATTTGTGTCACTGTTTTCGTATGACAAATCTCGGGAAATTGAAGTATTTTCTTGGTCTTGAGGTAGCTCATAATGGTGAAGGCATTTTCCTCTCCCAACGGAAATATATCTTGGATATTATTGTTGAGGCTGGTTTACTTGGATCAAAAACCGGCATATGATCTCCTAACGAAACTAACCATTGTCTCGCCGCGGATACGAGACCTTTTCTTACGCAGCCTGCCCGCTATCATCATCTAGTAGGGCGTCTTATCTATCTCTTAACAACACGTCCGGATCTCTCTTACTCGGTTCACATCTTATCTCAATTTATGCAAACTCCGCATAAAGCTCATTGGGAAGTTGTTTTGCTGGTCGTCCGTTGTTTTTAAAACCACAACCGCTGAAGGTATCTTGTTCCGTTCGGATTCTGAATAGACATTTTTGTTAAAGCGTTTTTGTGCTTATATGATCCCTTACAGATTTAGTTGCGCACTCCCACCCGGTTTGTCGTCCGAGTGGAAGTAGCATACCCCTAAAGGGATTTGCTCATTTTTGCCATTTATCAGCAGCTGATAGATACATATAAAGAGAGATTTTCAAAATCTAAACAACGTTTCAGCCTATGAATAATAGTAGTTCTTTGACAGAATGGTTGATGTTTCTGATTCTTAGTTAGACCATAAGTCCTAATATTAAAGAGAGAAATTAGGCTATACGTAGCAATAGTAATGAGAAAGTTATATAATTATTCTTCTAACTACTTTCTTATGTTTTCTTCCTTAGGTAGATAGATATGCATTCCATAATAAGTTTTGATGGGTTTTGGTACACTAGAGGTAATGAGAGATGAATTGCATATCCATTCATGGTGAACTCGGAAGACGAAGTAATTTAACTATGACTTTATTAATTTATTGGTTTTTAAGTTATTACAACAAAGTTGATGACATTTCATAGTTTTTTCACATCATACATGTAAATAAAAACACAGAATCAAATTAAAAGGTCGGAGAAAATTTTGTCAATGTTACACATTCCTTCAAACCACAAATTGCGTGTCGAGACATGATCCGGCAATTTGAGTCCTTCAAGATAAGCTTCGCACATAGATATACTATCGAAGGCTCTAGAAGCCGCCTTAGATGCTGACAGGTATGCCTTCGAGTTCGCACTCGCAAACTCTTTAGCTTCCTCGATTGCTCTATTCGATAATTCATATTCTTTCACACAAGACCCATATGGGATCTTGAGCTTTGGCTCAGTCTCGGTTCTCTCTAAGTCTTTAATCATCTCTAGGTTCTTAGAGCCCAACAATTCCGTCTTTTGATAGAGCAGATAGACAAGACCTTGCAGGTCAAGGTTGAATGTTTTTGCGACAGAGGTTACCCAAGCGACACAGAAATGGTTGTAAATTGTCGGTTGTGAGCAGAGTTGGTTGATTAATTCTTTTGTGATTTTGTCATTTATAGAATAAGATGAAGACAAAGGGGTGATTGATAGAATAACGAGAAGAGGAAGAATTGAAAATATATGTCTTATGACACAAGAACAAGCCATTGTCTTGAATGTGGAAAAATAATTAGATGTGGGAAGTGCTTATATATAACTTATAAGAGATTTTTCTCTCTAATTAGGATGTCCACCTTATTAAGAAAAAAATCACCTTAATTTTCAGTAACAAATTTTATTTAGAAGGAATTTTAAAATAGTCTAAAATTTTATAACAAAATTAGGAATATAGCTTCGATTTTTTAAAAATTAATAAAGCAGTCTGTTGACCAAAAAAAAAATAAAGCAGTCTGAAACTTATGCAAATTTTTCATTAACAATTTTGTTTTTGTTAAAAGACCCTTATGCCTTAAAGTCTAAATACCAAGTCCTAAACCTCAAAAACTAATATGTACGTATATGCGTAATCTTAATTAAATGTGGGGAGTGCTTAATTTGTTTGCATACATGCATTTAGGGATAGCAAAAGCATAACTTCTAGGCTCTATCTTGGTGTTGTTAATGAAATATTGACCCAATTGTGTTTCTTATGAATTATTGATTCAATTTAATGTGTGAAAGAAACGGTATTTATTTTATTTTAATTTAGTGTAACAATTGAATTGACTTGTATCGTTATAGATTTCTATCTCAAGAGTATTTTTATGCCAAATTTCGTCTATAATGAGTTTTTTTTTTTTTTTTTTTCAATTCATGATGAGTAGTGTTATAAATAATGAGTGATTGTATAGATGAGGCCTAATAGAATATTCTAGAAGATTATATACTATTTATTCTCCAAGGTAAAACCCTATCTTTGCATCCTTATATATATGTACTAACAACAAGAACAATCTTAAAATTCTATTGTTCACAACACGTTATCAGCACGATGTTGGGGTCGGATTCCATCCCTCAAATATCGAGCCGGACTTAGGACACTTTAAGGAGCTTCCGAAGACACCTCGGGGAAGTATATCAATCACCTCGGTGCAGCAAGCCATTCTCCTCGGTGCAGCAAGCCATTCGCCTCGGGAGAATGTATCAATCGCCTCGGGATCCACAGGCAAGCTCGGAAACCTGAACCGGTTCTTCAAGTACCCGAGCTGGTTCACGCCAGGACACCCGAGCTGGTTCCCTCCGCGTACCCGAGCCGTTTCTCCTCGGAAGCCCGGGCCACGCCTCTCTTATCTCCGAGCCAAACACCGATCAGCTTCCGAATTACCCGAGGAGAATTCATGATTTACCCGAGGTAAAGACTTAGTAAATATTCATCTTCAAAGTACCATTTCCAAACAAGGCGTCATTTCCGAAAAAAGAGGGATCATTTCCGACAGACTCGGAAATGATGAGGAAGAATCTCGAAGGATCGACTCAAATCAGGAAATCTTCCAAGAAATTCCGAAGAATAAGGAAACTATCCTAAATCCGCGATATTCCAAGCCGACTTCAAGATAAATGGAAATCTTCCGAGAATATCGCTGGAGAGGCGGTTTACCATCCCTATATATAGAGACTCAAGGCTCACACAGGGAGGGAGGCAAGATCACTCTAGAATTTACACTACGCAAAGCTCTCACAGCACAAACATCTTTTTCTTTTACGATCAAACTCTTGTACGATCAAAGTCATCTTTTTCTTAATAATATCAAGAACACCATCTTTGGTATCAATTGATTCTGTCGTTCTTTGACAATTCTCGCAAATCGTATCCCTAAATTAAAACCCTAGACAAATCTCGATTGTGTTAGTTTCGACTTCCACACACGAAGCCCTAGCCACCCGAGGTAACAAAAACCTTCACTGTCTTTGTCCGCTTTTGATCTCATCGTCACCGAGATAAATAACCTCATGTTTAATAATCAATCGGCTAATGATTATTGTGGAAGTCGGATTCGCACACTCAAGTATTTTTATTAAGTAGGAAAGATTACTCTTGAGGGACAAAAATGAATGTGTAAAAAGCTTATAAGTTGCTACAAAAATTGCTATAGTATTTCTTCTTCGAGGAAAAGATCCCCTTTACATGACCATTCGCCCTTATATTTATACATAGAAAAATGTCAATTAAATGGCTAATTAAGTACACTTATTCTCTCTTAAATGCGTCCGTTTTGATCTTTGAGATTTAATGCTCAACGTTCAAATTTGAATTAATTCCGATCTTCGTAGGCTTCGCCCTTCAGCCCAAAAGCCCCGAACTGAAATGATCTTTAACTTCGACTTCGTCTCCTCCTCGAGGTTAAACCACTCCGATCCCTCTTCGTGGTATAACCACCTCGACTAAGTTCTTGGGCTTATAAGTCTATCGGGCCTTGTCCTCTATGGGCTTCTGTCCTTCCTATGTGGCAATCTTTGGTTGGTCCCGAACTACCCGTGCGGGATCCGACACCAACAATTAGCCCCCCAAGTCTTACACAATCGAAAAGGTGATCCGTCCCGGCGTCTACGAACTCATCAACATGAACGGCAAAGCGGTACCTAGATCCTGGAACGCAATGCATCTAAAGAAATATTATCGCTAAGAACCTAAGGTACGCATGTTCTTGAACTACGGGGTGGCTTGATCCCTGAAAAGGGTACTGTGAGACCCCGTCCCGGACGTCTCGGCGTCCGGCGACCATGGTCACACGTTCGTGCCTCTTCCCGGCCGAACCTCCATATTTTTCGCGATTTAACATAGAATTGCCTTTACGAGGCTTACTTCTGTAATCGCTTTCTTAGTACCCAGCGGAAGTCTTTCTACCCTTGGTTTAATTCCAACCAACCCTTGTACCGGTTTGATCATCTTTGTCCCTTAGACTTTAGATCGATCATTAACTCGGCCAAGTCATGCAATTTGTTCGCTAACCATTCTAAGTCTAACGATTGCATATTCTTTGTATCCCTAATCCAACGGCCAATTCCCAAACGTCTATCTTAACTAATAAGTTAGATGCGTTTACATACCTTGGCCTACATGCGGATTTGATTCCTCTTCGATCCGTCTATTGATCTTTCTCTTAGCCCTCTCGTCGCCTTATTCCATTCGTACAACGATTCTTAACCAATCGTGTATTGATGGACCATCGGATTATCGTAGGCTAGCCCATGAAATCATTCGTCCATCGGCCTTTGGCTTGCTCGCGGGTCCAACATCCGTTCGTACGTTTCTCTTGGTTCACGGTGGCCGAATCAAGCTCTTGGCTCATTGGTCCATCCGTCCTCCAAACGTACGCCCCTTCGGTTTCATGGTGGACGATCAAGCCCTCGGCTTAACGAACCATCCATGTTTCCGATCCGGACGTTTATCACTACGACCGCCGACGGTTTATTAACCATTTACCCGTCCGGTCCATGGTGGTCGGTAAAGCCTTTAGCTTATCGATCCATCCATGTGATCCAAACAATATCATTATCACACCCAAGGGTCCGTGGATTCATCCATCGGATTATCGTAGGCTAGCCCATGAAATCATTCGTCCATCGGCCTTTGGCTTGTTCGCAGGTCCAACATCCGTTTTGTCCACCGATTCTCACCGTGGACTTTCCCGTTGGTTATCCGTCGAGTCACCATTAGTGTTACCGATTCCCAATCGGTTTCACCATTGGCCATGGCGATTGATACATGAAGGCGGCCGCGATATTAGATCCTTACATGGTGAACCACATCACCTACCCATCCTCGGTGCTTACTCCCTTTACCGGTGAGATTGCATCCATGGGCGACCCTTGGGTGTGTTCGGTTGCACTTATCCCCGTGCTTCTTTGAACACCTTACCCTTATACGCCTTCCCGATTAACTTCTTGTTAACCATATCATCTATCGGTCTATCGTTAGATCCGTCGATACTTTCATATTGACAATCTTAGATTTGCCGATCCATTTCCTCTTTGTGTCCTTCCCTCGACGATATGACTTATAGAACGGACGATCCATCGACCCCATAATCGAGCTATCGATCCGAACCATCAATCAAGTCGTCGAACCCTCCAGCGGTTCTCATCGAATCCTCGATCGAGTAATCCACCATGTTCCCTCGACCAGATCTCCGATACGTATTATCGGTCATCCCGCTGATCTATACGACCGATCAATCCGCCGATCTAAGCCTTGGTCCGTTTATCCGATCGTAAACAGATCCGGTTATATGTCAACCCGACCTGTTGACACGACGATCGATCCGCCTATCCCGGTCGGTCGATCCGTCTGTGCGACGGTCTATCCGAATCCATCTTCTTCTCCGACCTGATCCTTCCGTCCAACGATCGGTTTGTCCGATCCGATCCGTACGACAATCGGTCTATCCGATCTGATCCGTCCGACGATCGGTCTGTCCGATCCGATCCGTCCGCCGATCCGTCTCTAAGACGATCGGTCTATCCCATCCATCCCTCAATACATTCTATCGAACCGTTGGATCGGGAGGTAGCATGCGCATCAGTTCGGTCGAGGCTCCGAGAATCTATTCTGATTCCGGAGATACTCGTCGAGCCGCACCCCCTTTCCGACCAACACTTCGTAGAGTGTTTTGGGACCCCTTTTGGGTTTTGATGGTGATTGTGAAGTGTGTGAGGATGATCCTAAAGCTCTTGGACGTCCTCCCTTATATAGGGGCCGAATGGGTGTGTTTCCGAAACATCACCTCCGTTCATTACACCCTTCCGGAAGATTGCGTCTTTCCGGTCGTAACTGTTTGCCTTATCCACCCTTTGGCCAACGGTAACCATTCGTCGGTAACCGCTCGACCTTACACCTCTTCATCCCGAGCTACCACAGTCCACCAGCTCGAGTGTTAGCTGACCGGACCACCCAGCTAGGTCAGTACTCGATCAGTTCACCGAGCTCGGTTGAGCTGTCGGTCAGCTCACCCAGCTAAGCTAGCTAGTCCTCCCTTATATAGGGGCCGAATGGGTGTGTTTCCGAAACATCACCTCCGTTCATTACACCCTTCCGGAAGATTGCGTCTTTCCGGTCGTAACTGTTTGCCTTATCCACCCTTTGGCCAACGGTAACCATTCGTCGGTAACCGCTCGACCTTACACCTCTTCATCCCGAGCTACCACAGTCCACCAGCTCGAGTGTTAGC